TGTATATGCTCCTTCCAATTCAACTTTGCATCCAACGTCATCCCCAGATATTTCACCGAGTTGGAATGCGGGATTACTTCATTTCCAATCTGTAAGGGGATGTACGTAGATCTTTTGTTACTGAAGTTTATATGGATAGACTTCGACTCGTTTAAAGTAATGTACCATTTCCGTGTCCATTCTACAATTTGATTTAGTGAAGATTGCATCCTGTGCGACGACTCAACTTCATCTTTGCCGGTCGTAATGATGCAGGTGTCATCTGCAAATGTGGCGATTGCGAAGTTTGGCGGCGTAGGCATGTCGCTAGTAAATAATATGTATAAGAGTGGACCCAGGACACTACCTTGGGGTACACCTACTTTTAACAGCTGTAAAGTAGTATATGATTGTCCCTGCTTGATACTGAAGTCAACTAGATCGGTTAGATACTGTGGAAAGTTAAGTCTTAATTTAAGAAGTAAAGCATGGTGCCGCCTGCGAAACGTCAAGGAAGACAGCTGTGCAATTGTGCTTTTTTTCCATCGCATCTTCAATTATGCTCGTTATTCGATGAACTAGATCGATTGTGGAATGTTGAGATTTAAATCCAAATTGATGAATGGGTATAAGTTCCCTTTCTTCAATTATGTCCTGAAGTCTCCTTATGATTACAGCTTCAAGTAGTTTGGACAAAATAGGCAACAGTGAAATTGGACGATATGACGAGGCTTCATGTGCGCTTTTGCCAGGTTTTTGTACCATGATGATTTCAGATACTTTCCATGACAGTGGGACGTGTCTGAGAATTAAGTAAGCGTTTATTATCGTCGTAAGCTTTGCTATTGCTTTTTGCGTTAGATTCCTTAGTAAATCAGCAGTCATCAAGTCGAAGCCGGGAGCCTTTGTTGGTTTAAATCTACTTTTAATATTTCTACTTCTTTAATTGCTGTTGGTTGGATTTCACCCGCGCATTGCGATTCTTCCAGCTGTGGTAGAGTACCATTGACCGCAAAAGAACTAAATGTTTTAGTTAGTTTCTCCGAGAAAACTTTCGCTTTTTCTTCATCGCTTCTGGCCCCGGATCCGTTTGGCTTTCTGTGGGTTGCATTCGACAATATTGGTTCCTTGCGTTTTTAACAGCTTTCCAAAGGGAATAATCCGTATGTTTGTTTTGCGTTAATTTCTCAATATAATTAGAAATATTATGATACGTAAATAACTTTATTTTGGTGCTGAGAATCTTAGTTAAATTGTTTAGTTCTGTTTTATACTGAGGAAATCACGTGATTTGCCATTTTTTACGTAGTTTTCTCTTTTTCTTTATGAGTTCTAAAATATCGGAAGGTAAAATAGATTAAAAAAAAAACATTTGACAATTCGATTTGTGCGCAAAGTTGGAATGCATGTGTAGTGGGTCAATAAATTCCAAAAAAACTGACCTCCACCGAGGTTTTGAACAAATTTAAAGCAGGTTCGATTAAAGCTCGGGCTTTAAGCTCACATTTCAACAATTCTGCCAAACTTGCAAACATAACTTCACACTGCTCGTCTAGAGAGTTGTTGATAAAACACGCATATTACCCAGTAAATAAAACAGAATATAAAACAAATATTTGCATAAACACCAGAACAYACACATACACACRTACAAGAGAACACACATATGCAAAAATGCCAAACAACAGACAAGTGTACGCACTCAACATCTGTCATTTTGGAAAAGTGAAAACCACCGTGGCCTGCGCCATAAGCCACCTCTGATGGCTATCCGGTACACCACATGCAATTTCCGCCCAACCGCAGCTCATTTCAAGTTGCTTAATGCAATTCGCACTCGCTTAACACACAATTTGCGCGCGACAACTGCTGCGCCGAGTAAATAAATGCGCTGCCAAATGTGTGCTAATACTGTTGATTATGTGGCATCAACTAATACCAAATATCGCCTGTAACTATGATGCTAATATTTTGCATATACAAAAGCAAGCGTCACGACAAGCAGACAAACGAGTGACGGCATACAAGTATGAGTGTGAGTGTGTGTTCCAACAGCGCTAACGAATCATAAATAAACACATTGCAACTAAATAAACAACACCAATAAAATGTAATTTATACAAATGGTTATCGAAATGGACCGCGCAAATAAGCCAAAAGCACAGCAAGTGATTCTAATTGCGCGCTTTTGGGCGTTTAAACATGGCCTCGCGACGATTTGCAATAGCTTAGGCGGCATAGCCATGTGTGTGATGACTAAGTGACAAATATGCGCGCGGTATGTGTTAAATACTGGGCTCACTTGATTGGCTGCCAGCGTTAAATACCAATTCTGGGTGCATGTATGCGTGTGCCTGGCATTTGTCTATTATAATAATACTGGTGGCAAATAATAGCGCGAATTTTCATTGCAAAAGTGTGCGCTCGAAATGAATTCGTTAATTAAATTGGCTGTCTGCTCGCTTGGTTGGCATTGTTTTCGGCAAGCGCGCGCCCAGTTGTATGCTACAGCGAAATGCAGTAGCCTATTAGTGGCTACAATAGCGACAATTGCGCGTCRGTTACACTGCATTCCATGTGGACGCCATATAAAACATATAAATGAATATAAAATATGTAGCTGTGTATTATAACCAAGGTGGCTGCGCTTGTGTGCGTTGGCAGGGCCCGCCATACGTGCATTGCATACACTTTATTTATGACCATTTTTACTTTTGTATACGAATTTTCGTTATTTGCGCACACAGCGCTGATAAAATCCGCGTACAAATAAATAAATTTAAATTTTTTGGTATATATGAGTATACACGCACACACACACACAGCATACATGTGCTTCAGCGCACATTTGCAATTGTATTTATATTCGCGCGCGGAATTTTGATTTCCAACGCAATTTCTGCCTGCTTTCTGCCGGCAATTATTTATCATAGGCCTGCCTTTCCACCCGCTGTCTGCGTGTTGCTGTGCCCACCATAATAAATATGCGCCTTTTCAACCGCTCTGACAGCCGCGCGGCGTTTATTCCAGTGTTGAATTAAAAAATTGAGAAATCCAATGTGTTTTTTCCACATTCCTTCACGGTAGACACATGTGAAGGTAGCAGTGTTGAATATACATACATACATGCAAGTGTATACATACATATAAATATACTATTTGTGCATTAGGCTGTCAGTTGATTGCTTCTTTGCAAACGCTTCTTCAAATTTCAGTTTTTGCACTGAACATAAGGATCTAATGGAAAGCAGC